AGGTATTGGATATCTAAGCCAGCAAATCCATTGCACTATGACCGTTATTGTGCTCTAATAAAACGCGAAGAGGAATGGGCCTGTTAATATCACACAGCTAATAATAGTTCATAAATGTGGGCCAGTATCCAAGACAAGGGCTAGGTCTAGTCTTAAACAAAAAAAAGCCTTTCAAATAAGAATTCCTACTGACACCATAACTTCCTAAGAATTTTGTTCAGGTAAGACTTAATGGAAGGAAATGGAAGAAAATCACAATTGTCCCTTGTTTGCTTTTCTTTCAGTTCATAATGCTTTTGTTGTGTTCCTTTGAAAATGATATGTCTACAAATGGTGGTTTTTTTTTTAAATTTTTATACGGGATTAGCCCTACTGGTGCAACCATTACCTGCAAATACTGAAATTGTTTGAGAATTTGATTACCACTGTATGCAACAAGTTAAAATGATTACAGAACATGTATATCTGTATGAAGATTTTCATGTAGTCATGTTTTCTTACACTAATACTGAATTATCACTAGATATCCATATAGAGAGAATACCTATGGATAGTATCTAATATCATTAATTAAATGTTTGAAGCCTACGACATGCAGTTAAATTTATGAGGTCTGTATTTTCACTTATTTCTGAAACAACAGTCTAGAAAGTTGAAATGGAATGATATTGCCTATAGTTGCTCCAAAAATCAAGGTAACAAGATACTGATCTCTGCTGTCAATAGGTAATTGAGAACATCATAAGTCATACGAGAACAGGATAAGCGATAATCACAAGTCTAAAGAGCCCCGGACCACTCAGATGTTTACTTGTAGTGAGAGCCATGAAACTGAAGACCTATTCATTCGTAATGCACATTGAGGCCTTCAAATGCACTGCATCACTGGGATCACATTTCCCACTTTGTGTGTACAATACACATGCACGTACATTATGCACCTGTGTACAGGCACACACGTATAAAAATAACTTACTCAGGTGTTCCCCTTGTTGAATCACATTGTTTCTCATTCAGCCTTTTTTTTTTAACTCACTGTATTGATTGAGATATTGAATTAATAAACATCACAGAAAGCAGTGTTTGCTTGCAGGAATATAATATGTCAGCAGATAAATTGTACAGTGTTAAACTGCCTGGAGTCATCAGGCTAAACCTGATTAACAAAGATTTTGTCTGCGTGGTCTATATGCTCCTTTGCAATTTATAATAAAAATGATAATTGAAAAAGTGATGACAATATGAAGAGCATTATCCAGATGCCTCCTGGTAAAAGCAGCCTTCATTTGCCATCGGTGAGAAAAGACATTACAAATCTAATTATGAACGGTTAAACAATTTATGCATTATAACTAATTTATAAACGTTGTATCGTGTGGAATTGTAATTATTACTGCTACATCCAAAATAACTGTAGGGATTAAAAATGAAATTATTAAAATGTTAAGTGCTAGATAACACTGTAAAATCAATAGTCCCATTTTTTAAATATACAAGCTATATGCAAAACCATACGTTGGCAGAACAGTATGTCCTATGTATCCAACACAGTGTAATTTAAGAACAGTTCAGGCTTCAGCTGTGCATACTGGGCAACATCAATATTTCAGCAAGTATTTAGCAGAAGCTATCTACCATAGCCAATCTGTGCCAGCTAATTAAGGCCATCTGAAAACGAAGGCAGCCTTCTTACTGACGCAACTGTATATGTGATACACTATAAATACAAAATAGCAGAATAACCTCTCATCATCACATAGTGCTATTTTAGTTTAATGTAATTTTAAATACTATAACCAATGTAGTATTCCTGGCAATTGAAAATGTAAATTTTGTTTCTTTTATATAGTCGTACCAATTTTTTTTGTAGATGTGGCTTAGGATATCGGCTTTATTTAGAGATAAACACAGCAGTTGCTAGTTGCATAGTAAAAGATAAGTGATGACTAAGAGATAACACTATATTACTACTCCACCTGCTTTAGCACTGTTTATTAAACCTAGAGATTTGTAATACATCCCAATCACACATAGTTACAAGGTATAAAAAGTAAAGTATAGATAATAGTAATAGAATTCTTGCTTGACAAAGGTCCTCCATTCACTCAGTATGTATATATATATATATATATATATATATATATATATATATATATATATATATATATATATATTTTAACATTGTCTGTAGCACCAGTTCTCAAAGTAGGGTCAGGGGATCCCCAGGGGTCGTTTTGAGTTCCTAAAGTTATTAGCCTGTTTGACTGGTCACTTGAATTGTATAGATTTAACAAGAAGGTCTTTAAATAATGTCAACTGGAAAGTTCAGGAATGAAAAACTATATGGATTCAATTAATAACCAAGATATTATTGTACATATGTAATTAATAAGCCCAATATTTAAAGAGTTGGATTGCGTTTAAAAAAAAAAAAAAAAAAATCACATGTCCTGAGGGGGTCCATGGAATTTATTTTACAGTTGAAGGGGTCCCGTTACAAACAGCTGCTCCATGCAGTATAGACTACATATACAGAGTAAGCAAAAATGTAGTGACATAGCCAAAAGCAGAACATTATGAATGACATTTAAAAAGCAATGTAGGTTCAGTGAGCCCAAAAATGTTATATATTTAATTTTGTTTATATTTATATCCAAGTAAATATATTTGCATATATGTAGTATATAAAGTTAATGTATGCATTCACAGAGGGGATTAAAACACAACAGTATAAAATAAAATATGTACAGTCAGTATAAACGATAAACAATACACAATGGACATTTAAAAGAAATCATTGCTTACAGTACATATAATAAATACATAATAGTTATGTACTGTATAACTGGATATACAGTAAATATATGAAATCATTTAATGATATACGTAGTAATATAAACATGTATAAGTGTACATGTAGTATATTTTCATATAATCAAGCATATAGATTGTACACACACATATATGTACATCTAATTTCCAATATCATATATTCTGTGTGTGTATGTACTGCGTGCATTTCATGAAACTGGATTTCTGAGTTAGGCGGTTTAATTAAGACTAAAGACAAAACGAAGAAATATTTCCACAGTCATCTAAATGATGATTAGATCTCTTGCTGCAGCTGGCAGAGCAATAGCAGTGTATTAATACTAGCTGTACTGCTGCTCAGGACTGATCTAGAGTTGGTGCAGTGCTTAGTGCTTGCGGCTAGTAATTTCTGTCCAGAGGCTGATGATTTAATCCCCTGCAGAGGCTCACAGCTCTGCCCTGTCATGGCAGCAGCAGCAGTCTGATCATTGCATCCAAACCCCTGCTTCTGGCCATGCTCCAGGACTCTGCAGCAGACCACCTGACTGCACCACTAGCACCCGATTGAACGCAGGCCACCTGATGGTGCAAGGGCACTGCAGAGTGAACACACACTCACAGGCCTGTCAAACATCAGAGACAGTGAGTGCTGACTGCACCGCAACATGCACTGACAGCCCTGCAAAGTGACATGAGATCTTTTCATGGACCAATCAAATGTTTCACAGGGGTTTAGCCAACTGTACCTGAAAGATGGGCTATCATCCATAAACATGTCTAGGATAAATAATTAACTTAATCCTTTTTTGCTCTGAACACATCCCCCAATGTCACACCCTTTTTGCCATAAAGATAATGTTAAAAGATTACACATGCTGACAGAGGGAATGACGATAAAAAAGGAAGAGATAGATCCCGAGAGACTATAAAAATGAACATATGTAATTAAAAAAAAGGAAGCACAGAAGTGTGAAAGAAGCCAGCTGAAGGATAGAAGAAAGAAAAACCAGACAGATGTGATGATGTAGAAGGAGCCCTGCTCTGTACTTTATTTCATATTTACATCTTTAGTAGCTCTGAGGTATCACAGATGGACACCTGCACTTGCTGTGTGTAGTGAGTGGGTGATGGTGTGTTCAGTCTCCAAAATCCCACAGTGCAGAGGAGAAGCTTTCCACCACCTACCTCGCCACTTTCTGGCCAGTATTTCAGCGTTGAAGCTTCACTCAGCAAAACTGGAAAGTAGTTTGCTCTAGCTGTCTATCACATCCCTGCAGAGTTGGAGCCAATATTCATTCTGGTCTCACCAGCACAGTTCTGACACCAAGTGATTCTGTCTGGTTACTGCAAGTTCTTCACTTCTGGCTCCAGATAAATTTAACCCACTTTACTTAAGTTAATCTTGTCTAGCATTTCACAGTGCTGTTTGATTTATGATGACGTTAAAATGTAGTTTAAATGTGTCTTTCTTTGGGTTCAACACTCAAAATAAACGCCACAATGTTGTGTTGCGTTACACTATGTTACATTACGTTATGTAACTTGACCTACTGGATTATGAGGCAACTAAGTTCACACAATCCTATGTTCCAGTGTAGCTCAACGTAATCTCTATGTACCACACCTGTACACTCTTCAGTTGTCCCTTTTTGTGAACTTTTAAAGGTTACAAATCTAATTCCATATCAGAAAGGATTGTAAGTATAACCCGTTTTGGAAGTTTAAGAATCTTTAATTATCAAATGAACCCTTGAAGTTCTCTTTGTCTAAGAATGTAGTATATACAGTATATATGATCACTATTGAACAATTTCAACACTTGTATAGAGATAAAATGTGTTTATTCAAAATTCAATTATAATTGAAGTCTAAGGAAAGCTGTGTACCTCCATCAATAAAAGTTTTTTTGTGAAACTCATTTTTGTTCATTTTTGTAAATTCTTTTAATGAATTTCACAGTCACAGGTTTTTGTACATTAAGAGCTACATATGTATAATGCATCCTTGAAGAGATGGGACTGTTTGTTGTTATGATCGTGGGTCTAAAATGACTGGAATTGCTTTGGCAATCTATGATATCACGATGATAATACTTTCTCTCATGTCTGCCTCATCCTAGTCCTATAGTTAGAGAGTAACAGTTGTGGTTTTACATATTTACTTAACTTACTAAACTTAATTTAACTAGATCCCTGGAGGCCTAGTGGTGAGGCCTCGGCATTCTCACTGCTGTGGCCTGGGTTCTATTCCCAGCCAGGGAAACAACCCCAGCCACTGGGGGTTGCACAAGACAGTGAACTCCCAGTTCCGGTCCCAAGCCCAGACAAATTGGGGACGGTTGCGTCAAGAAGGGCATCCAGGGTAAAAACTGTGCCAAATCAAATATATGGATCAACAATCCGCCATGGTGACCCCTAACAGGAGCAGCTGAAGAAAAAATTAAATAAAATAAACTTAACTACTGCCTTTAGATTTCTATTATAACTGAGTTTCAAATTAACTGGCTTCTTTGTTGTTGTTGTTTATTTTTCTGAATACAGGGAAATATGCCTGATATATTTTTTCTGTAATAATCACACATACACTATAGATCCATGGGTAGAGATTGGGT